AAAGAAAAGGGGCAAAGGCAGGTGAAGAATTTTTATTTCTGCATCGCTTTAATCCTACTCCAAAATACTGAGGAAGATTTCAGCTCTTCCCTACCAGGCTGCATACAGAAGACAAGAGGGTTTTGTTGAAAGCCTGGGATTCTGAGGAAAGTACAGAACCAGGCTATATATTCATTGACAAGAATGTCTCATTTTTGAGTGTTCTAATACGGGGCTTGCTAACACAGTAGCCACCTCAATGCAGCTTTCTCAGCCTGGAGAAGCTCCAAGGGGCATGAGGAAAAGCCACAGCAGCAGCTGCCCAGGACACGACGTCCCCAAGGGAGCTCCTTTCCCACCGCGGCCGCCAGACCACGCAGCGCTGACACTTCACGTGAACAAAAGAAGCATGTAGAAAAATTAGCACCATGTAGACAGAACGTGGCATGTGCATGCACATATACACGAAGAGCCTGACCCCTTAAAACAAAACAAAACAGAAAAAGAAAACCTTAAAATTTAACCAGTAATTCACCCAGTTCAGCCAAACACATCCAAAAACGGTATTGTGAACGATACAAGTTTGGTGCTTCTTTTTATGAATAATTATACGCTTATATTTTTAGTAAAGCTACTGTACAGAAAAGCTATTCAATCTCTCCCTGCTCTCCAGAAAAAGGTAAGAGATCGATTAGACTATTTCTCAGTCACATAATCCAACACTTGCTGCTTCCAAAATTCAGTACAAAGGCTTATTTAGGACAGCAATAAAAAAGTTCATGAAGTCAAGTAAGTTGCTAGCATAAAGCCAACCAAACAAAAAAAGTTTTTTCTGACAAACAATTTGTTAATAACAAACCTAAGTGCTGTACAGCAACCTCAAGCACAGGATGGAGAAGAATTACACATGGTTTTGTCAGAGAGAACAATAATCTCTGACCCCATCCCGTATTTGACAGCCAGCCCTGGGCAACCATTCCTGTCTAAAAGAGAAGTCTACATTTTATCTTCTTCACAGGTTTTTCTCATTTAGCTAGAAAGATGTGCCTTGAGACAAGGGCTGAGCAGGGACTGGAGGGACAGGTCTCTCCTCGGCTGCTGAAGACTCTACGATGGAGATGGACAAAGACCCTTCCTCCCTCTGCTACCAGCAGCCAGCTCCTGCATGCAGGGTAGCTGCGTTCTTGGTGCGGGTCACAAAGGTCTGGGAAGGCTCTAGGGAGGAGAGTGCCTAGCAAGAATGCCAAACTCCTTAGATATTTTATATAAAACATAGACATTCTCCCTATGCATAGCACTTTCCCGCTCTTCTCCCCTAGCAGTCTGGTCTACTTGTTCCTTGCATCCCCTAACGTAATACTTTAAGGAAACTGCCTGCATATTTATAGTTTGAAAATAATGCCAACTTTCTCTTTTATGGTGCCACTTTCTGCAAAGCTGCTTACTTACTCTAGAAAGGGGTCAGCTGGAGCCAAACCCTAATCTGCTCGAGAACTGCTGCCAGTTTCCATTAGTGAAATGATAACACAAATAATCAGCACTACCTTACATTCCTACACTGTGGCTGCTTATGGGGTTACTCCCATGTAACAGAACACAGTATGGCAGCTAAAATCAATATATGTAAACCTAAAACAAACGCTACCTTGTGATTTCTGTAAATAGCACACAAAAATCTCATTTGAGGTTGATCAAAATGAAAAAAAAAAATCTACCCTTGTTAACTGTAATTTGAGATATATTCCCAGCAATTACAGTTACCACAATACTGGCACGAGCACTTCTCAGATACACCAGTCATTACTTTAACACGTGGTGATTTCTAACCACAAGCATTTAGAAATGCTTTGCTGGACAGTATAACAAGAAGTGGCAGAGCCAAATGTAACTTCTATATATCTGAAAACCCCTTGAAAAGGCAGCGATCACTTAAGAAAACCATTATAATCTATTACATAGCATCATTTAGAAAATATTCTATGAGCTTATGACCATTGTTATTCAAATTTAAAAATTATCTTAAAATGAATTAATAGTGAGCATAGTTATTAGTAACTCAGGGATAATTATAGTATTCCCATAATGTATCTTTATCTCAAATGTTACAAACACAGGAAGCTGAAAGCTAACAGTTAAAAGAAATCCAAGCATATTTTAAACTAGAAAAATCCAGTGTCATTACAATAAAGGGTCTAAAAACCATTTAAAGCAAAAGACAGTAAGTTTTTTTTGTGGTGTATGTCATGTAATTGCATGGGAGAGTGACTTTTTCCTGGAGGCCTTGACAATGTAGCCCTTTTGCAGCCTTACTTTTCTTTTTCCGGAGATGAGACAAGAAAAGGCTAAGCAGTAATAACCGTTGGGCCTGGCCTTAATTTGGAACCCTCCTTGTGTTTATGTGCAACTCATATTTTTATGTCCAACTACATTTGACTCATTAGTTTATAAAAAACAAGAAACTTAGCGTTGTCACGTAGTTTAAAGAGAGAAGGGGGGGGTGGATTGTGACACGCTTTCCTGAGGCGAGAGCAGTGTTCCACGTGGAAAATGGAATTCAATATACACCTGCACCTGCAATACAACCTGCTTTTACAGGA